AGCAGTCCCTCTGCCCAGGGAGGCGGCTCCAGCCAGGAGGACCCCCAGGACTGCAGGGGTCCCCAGCCCTTGTCCATTCACACTGGGCAGCATCCACTGGTTCCTTGGACTTGTTTCAGGGCCAGCGGGGACTGTCCAGCGTGCTTCACTATGTTCACTATGTTCAGTTCTCATTTTTCCCCACCGTGTCTAGTCTATTTAGGCTGTAAGGTTGTCCAAGCAGGCCCCACAGAATGCTCTTTCTCTGTGTGATATCAAGCATATTGGGGCCTTTTGGAACAGCTGTAAAAAATGTGACTAATAATAATAAAAGACAGATTTTATAACTCTTTCTCCACTCCCCCAATCTCCCACATCTGACAGCTACAGAATTTAATATCCAATGAGGAATGGTAGGATCTTGGGAATGTGTTACGGACACTTGAATGATATTGCTGTCACTCATGATTTTTTTACAAGTCTTGAGATCTTTACTTCACTGTGATTTGGGGATACTTCCAGGTTTCATGCTTTTTTTAAACAAGTGCATTTCTAATCTTTATAGCAGAGAAATGGTGGAAGACAGGACCAGACTGTGCTCTTTTAGCGTCTTTATATAAAGGCAAACATGAAGAAATCCCAATGAATTAATTCATTAATTCATTTAAATTCTCGTTATTTTTAAGCCAAATTCATGATTTTGGAAGGGACTGATGCATTATTTTGGAACACTTGGAGTCAGTGATATTAAGTAAGCTTAAAATATGTATGATAGTAATAAATTTAAGGAAGATACTTCTGGGGAAAAGAAATACATCTTACAGAGATTACATACTGTACAGGGAAAAGAGCTGATAAAAAATCCTACTGAAAGTTTTTCCATCTAAAAATCCCATTTCACTGCAATCAAAATGTTTCTCAGGAATGGATTGATCTGCAGAAATTAGGTTTGGTTAAAAAACTAATGAAGCATTTCAATCATCATTTTCCAGTTCAGCACTTTAAATGGAACACTGATTTTTCATTTTGAATCAGCCTCATTTCAAAATCAATTATTATATATATATATATATATATATATATATATTTTAAAACAAAGATTGGAAAGAAAACTTTTACTTTATTGATACAGAATGTTCCAATTCACCTGAAATTATTTTATTTTCCAGAAATTATATTTTGCAGGACATTTTAACTTTCATTTTGCTCTAATTCAGAATGAAGGCAAATTTTGAAATGTCAGATTTTCCCACCACAAGGGAATTACAGTTTTCAACTATACCTAATTGGGAATAAATATGAGGCATTTTCAGGTGGAGTCACTGGGAGTGATAATTTTGTATCACCATACTGTTTCCCAAGTGCTTGACCCTGAGGATATCAGAGTTACTGTAGCAGTCCAGGGCTACAAGCTGTCTCTTAGTGCAAACCTAGCCTGCCTTGTGGTGAAAGCAGTACTATACACAGGACTGGATACATGACCTTGGTTGTATTTCCCAGCACTCACTCCCATTTAATGTTTTTCATATATTTCATAGTTTTAATTCTCCTGGAAGCAACACAGGGACACAGCCAGGCGTGGTAGGAATGGTGGTACAATGTGTAGCACCTCTGATGGAGGTATCTGTCAGACTTCTGGCAAAAATTGTAATCAAATGCTCCAGGAAGAGCACACACCAACTGCTGAAGCTTCCTGAGCCTGACGAAGGGTTTTTGAACCCGAAAGCTTGCTTAATAACTATTCTCCAACCATTTGGGTTGGTCTAATAAAAGATATCAAATTCACCCAAGGAACCTTGTCTGCCAGTTTCACATCGGCACCCTTACCTGGAGTGTAACACAGGAGAAGTGGGCTGGCAGGTGCTACTTGATCCAGTCCCTGACAGTTGCAGGCAACCATGTAATAGACATTAAGTCCCAAAGTGACCACAGGAACATCCTCTCTAGTAACATTCCAGGCATAGTTACAGAGACTGATATTTTACATCCAACTGTAGCAACTAATCTTTATATTCAAATTGATTCCCCACTATCAATCAAGATAGTGGTATTTCCATTCTGGCATTAGAGCCTAACAGAACTCCCTTTAACCACCCAGAAAACTCAATGAAAATAGAAAACCAACAAAAGAAGGTTATATAGATATCTTCCATGGATACTTTTGGGTCCAAAGGCCCAAATCTAAACATTTTCAAGCAAAACAAAATCTTTTTAGTTTCCAACCAAAAAACTTTGGCATTCAGCTTAACATTTTTGGTTTTGGACCAAAAGGTTTAAAAAAACCATAAAATTTTCCAGAGAAAGCTTATTGTTTCAGAGGGGAAAAATCCATGTAATCAGTTCATTTTATCAAGACCCCAATTTTTGGTTTTAAAGGATCTTACAACAATAGGAAACTGGATGCAAGACTAAAAATAATGATGCAGACAACGTAGTAAGACTGGGACACTCCTGTGAAAGGAAAGTAAGCCTCCTGGTAAGCACTAGGAAAATATGGACCAGTTCTGTGCATCACAAGTTGTAGTGTGTTGAAAGGTGCAGGTTCAGTACTTAAGAGTTTAAAGCCAAAAAAGACCATTTGATCATACACCTAGTCCAGTGGTTCCTAAATGGTACTGCATGGGCTACTGTGAGACTGTGGTAAGTAACTGGCTTTCATAGGATCTTAATTTAAAAGTTTGCTTAGGTTGTATGGAGGTCCAGTAGATAATCTGAGGGTCAAAATTGGTCTGTTGCCCCCAAAATCCATGAACTATTGACCTAGTATAACTTCTTATATATAAAACTCCTTGCAAATTACTCAATTTCATGTCCACTGAGCCCAGTAACTTGTGTTTGGGTAAATTCCTAACTCTCTCAAAGCATAAGGGTGACTAAACAACTCCTGGTGTGTTTGTAGCCTGTGTAACAAAACAACAACAGTAATACTCCAATTGCCTGGAATGGACTGGGTGCTGTGTAACGGATGGAAGATGTGTGCATCCTGAAGAACATCCTTTATAGGCAAACTGCAGGTAGGGAGAGAAGAGTAGGGCACCCTAAATTATGCTTGAAAGACATATGCAAACAGGATATGAAGGCTTTTGGAAATGACCGGAACCTTTGTGAGGCCTTAGCTGGAGACAGGACAAAGTGGTGCTCCCTTCTCAATCATGGAGTCCAACATCAATGAGGAATGGTCACTCAGATTACAACTAAAACATAACTAAAAGAAACAGCCTGCCAGAAATGAGACCAAAGGAAATGCCATATACACCTGTGACCACTGTGACCCTGCAAGTCTAAACATTGGTCTTTACAGCCACAAGAGAAAATGCACTACTGGTCAGTAGAATAGCTGCAATATCCACCATCACTCGCTGATGAACAGATGCCAAATAGATATAATTCGAGGATGAAAAGAGGTTGCAATCTAAATAAGACAGCAAGACACACGTGAATGAAGAGTCACTTCACGTTTTATTGCAAAGTGTTTTCATGTTACTGCTTTGTCTGTCTGGGCAGAATAAATGTCCGAAAAAAGCTTTATAATGGATTTTCTATAACACAAGCTGGCTGAAGCTGCTCTACCCCAAATGGCTTCCAGTCCCTGTCCACAGCAAGGTCACTTCCAAGCTCATGGTTCTACTTCTGGTCCGAGCCCAGTTTCTATAACTGAATTTCTGTGGGCCTTGTCAGCCCATTCACTCTATGCTGTAGCACCCCTGCTTTGGGAACCACTGCTGTACAAATAACTGTGGAAAAGAATTAAAGAACTTGTTAGTGAAAGAGCCATGCCATGGTTTCAAGAATAACTTGGGCCTGTCCAGCACATAGCTCTTCCACCTTTACCCCTAGCTAATAAACTGCATTAAAAGAAACAAAAAAAATGATGTCATTCAATACTGTTCTTCCCTTGGCAGGGAACAAGAAGATGGCTGCTCTCACTGTTGCAGGGACCTGATGCAACTGTCACAAGCAGAAGAAGCAATCCACAAATGTGTCTATTAAAATGTGGTTCATGACATGAAAATTGTTCCATATGAAAGAATATCTTTGTCTATCTTAAAAAAAAAAAATAGAAAATTCCATCCAAGGATGCTACATTGAAAGAGTACAAAGGACATGGGACATGTTCTCCAGAGAAAATAGCATGTGGTTGTGGACTATGGCAATCCATATATACACAGGAGTAGAGTTAAGGTTACATGGGAAGCCATAAATGGCATTTCCTGACTTGACAGGCCACCAAGATATGGGGGAACTGGCCATTCACATTTTATGGCCCTGAGCTGTAATTTTGGCAGTGCTCAACTTGAAAGGCCACAGGAAGTAAGGTGAACTGGCATTTCTGGTCAGCCATGTGCAAGACATATCTATGTAGGGCTGATCATAAAATGGGAGTGTTTATTGTGGAAAATGTACCCAAAAGGGAAAAATCCTTTGTCAAAATGTTCTATTGCAAAGCACAGGATCTCGGTAAAAATAAAGTGATATACAATTTATTTTGCCTGGTAACTGGAATATTTTAAACAAACCCTAAAATATTTCAGTTCCAAAATACTAGAGCGTGCTGCCTGGAAAGTGTAATTTAAGTACCTCATCCCCAGTCTCCTTGATGGCTGGCTTACATCCCTCATTATCAGTCTGTGCAGCTAAGGATCAGCAAGAGGGGAAGCCTTGGTGCACCATGGGAAACCCAATCCAAGCACAGAGCTCAAGCTGTGGAGGAGGAGTGTAAAGCAATCACACTGCCACTCGCCTGAGGCACTGCACTAACCGTTGGCTGACATGGCACTTCTGTTCTGCCATTACCTTTTCACCTTACAGAAAATTTGCAAGAATGTGCATTCACAGCCAACCCACAGCTGACTTTGAAAAGAAGGCTGGCATCACTGCCCCCACTTCATGCAGAGGGGACCTGAGGGACATGGAGGCAAGGCAGCTCACCTGCAGCCACCCTAATGAACCCACGTCCTCCCAAGCCCCAGCCCAGTGTCCCATCTGTGAATGCCTGGCCCCTATTTGTAAGGCCGTGCTACCGTGTGGCTCCTCTGGTGGGTGATGAGCCCAGAACGCTGGCGGAAACTCTTGCCGCACTGGGGGCAGCGGTACGGCTTCTCCCCTGTGTGGATGCGCTGGTGGATGGTGAGGTGGGAGCTGACAGCAAAGCCGCGGCCACACTCACTGCAGCGGTAGGGACGCTCCCCAGTGTGGGTGCGCTGGTGAAGGCCCAATGTGGAGCTCTGGCTGAAGCGCTTCCCGCAGTGCTGGCACTGGAAGGGCTTCTCACCTGTGTGGACGCGCTGGTGCTTGGTGAGGTGGGAGCTGACAGCAAAGCCCTTTCCACAGTCCATGCACTTGTAGGGCTTCTCCCCTGTGTGGACACGCCGGTGCAGCACCAGCGTTGAGCTCTGGCTGAAGCTCTTCCCGCACTCTCCACACTGGTATGGCTTCTCGCCCGTGTGAACACGCCGGTGGATGGTGAGGTGGGAGCTGACAGCAAAGCGCTTGCCGCAGTCAGGGCACTGATAGAGTCTTTCTGCTGCAGGGATCCGTGGTAGTGCTGGTGGCTGCGGCTGTGGCTGGGGCTGCAGCTGTGGGGCCTGGGCAGGGCGTGCACCCTGAATAAAGCTCCCCCCACACTGGGCACACACGTTCTGCCCTTCCCCTGCTCCCATCCCCCGTGCCAGGACCTGCATTCTCTGTGAGGCAGCACTGCCTTCCTTGAACTTCTTCAGGGCTTCCCCGCCAGGAGGCAGTTTACCCCATCTTTTACCCTGCTGCCCCTCTGGTCTGGTAATGGCATGGCCCAGGGCCTGGTAAATATTCACCTCAGACCGTAACCCGGGTAAGGTCCCATGTGGCTGGGCTGTTTCAAGGCATCCCTGTTGGGGATTTGCATTTGTCATCCCGCCATCTGCTGAGACAAAGAGAAAACCCAGGTAATGAGACTTCAGGCTCAGACCAGGCCAAGCAGCCCCCTCACCCTCTAGAATCTCAGCTTCCTTTTATATTTATCTATAGAAATAAGTTTCTAACTGCTTTGGCTGTGGAAAAAACCCTTGAGAAGGCAACCTGAATGCCTACCAACTCAATGATACCTGCACAAGTGTGCAGAGAGTTTGAAAAAATTGCTCAGATTGTTGAGACTCTGCCACAAGAGTAATGAGTGCAGTAATGCCTGCCTGAATTTGGAGAGCCTGAAAAACTGATCCATGTTAAACTGGAATTGCCCTAGGCATAAACTAGCACTGGATCCTCCAGCTCTGTTTGCAAATAACCTGAGATAATTGCTTCAAGGGGAGGGAGAACTGCCCTGAGTTTAACCAGTAGAACCAGTACAGTTCTACCTTGGTTTTCAGAAAGCTTAAGAAAATTGAGAGTATGGCAGAGGACTGTCCTGAGTGGAACTGACACTACCTAAATTTGCTAAGTACCTGGAACAAGCACTCTGTGAGATTTAAACTGATCAAACGATGGCTGTGAGCTGTGTGGGCAGAGCTTATTTTATGGGGAAAAGGGAGGAGGGCTTGCAAAAGCATTTCTAACTATATCCTGGCTCAGATGGAGCTCATGAGGGCATGCAACTAGCTTCTGAGTTGCTCTAACTTAATTCTCATCCACATCAGTTTCCCTTATGAACATCCAAGCCCTTTGAGTCCTGGAGAACTAGATCATGGCTGTCCAGCTGGCAGTCCACAGATTGCAAGCAAACCCCTGCATGGTTAGCATGCAGCCTGCAGGCTCCTGGCATGGTCACCATTGCCCTTACCACAACAGCTGAGTTCTTCAGGCTCCCCTACCCACTTCCGGCTTCTACTTCCTTCCCCCAGTCCTGAGCAGCACAGCAGGAGAGCACTGCAATTCCTAATCTGTGCATACAGCAGGAGAGGGCTATGCTGGGCTGCTTGCAGTCTGTGAAAGAAAGGCAGGAACTAGGCTGCCCATGCTGTAAGTGGACTTATGGCTGGGAGGGAGGGGATGCTACATGTGTGTTAGAGGGAGCTAGGCTGCCTGTGCAGGAGTGGGGCAGGGGATGTAGAGGGTGCCAGGGGTGCCCATACAACATAATAGGAGGAGAGGGGATGACAGAGCTGGACTGCTGGGAGGGGAAGTGGAGCCAGGAAGGTTGTGTGCATGGTGGCAAGGAACACACTAGACTGCCCACAGGGCAAGAGAGCAGAGGAGGGGTAGTCCATACAGCCAGCAGCCCTCAGTCTCTGGTCTGAGCCTCATGCATGCAGCCCCCTCCTGCCTGGAAGTTGGACAACCCTGCCCAAGAGCAAAGAGACCATTGCCTTACGGATCTTGGAAGAGCACCTCTGTATTTCTCTAGAGAAGGGCAGTCAAAGCCCAACAGTTCCATCTTTTAAACCCAGTCCCTTTTAAAAAAGAATTATTCATCCTTTCTGAAGTAGATTATGCAAAGATTAAAAAACAGTATCCAGTTCTCAAAAGTGGCATGGACTGCCTCCTCCTGCAACTCCTGGTTATGTTGACCACAGACCTGCCAACTTCCACAATGGATGAGGCAGGAGTTTTACAGACAGCAACTCCTTCACTGCATAGACCCAGTCTCTCCCCAGAAAACTTCCAAGCTGTGCACTGAATGAGACAGGGGCTCTGTGGAAAAAATTATATTTGGTGCTCCTTTAGCTAAAGATAGGGTCATACAGATCAGGGACTGAACTCTGGTGCCACAGGAAAGTTTGGTCTGGCTCCGCCGCAAGACACATGGGCAGACGCTCGTCATGCCCCAGTGAGCACCAGACCCCCCCACCCCCCACCCCACCAGGACACCTGGTGGACCCCAACCCTGACCTCCAGCATAGTCAGGAGGCATGTGGGGCCCGTGGTAGGTGGGAGATAGTCAGCTGCGGAAGGCAGCTGAGAGGAGCCGAGGAGGGTCACACACCCCCCGGCTTCTACTTGGCCCAACCCCCCCAGGGAGCCATGCGACCAGAGCCTTGTGAACAGAACGTGCAAACAGGTGCACACTGGGTCCAGTGCATGAATTAGTATGAAGGTTCACGCAGGAGGGCGTGCAGGCAGGGCATGAGGCTCTAGGTGGCGAGCATGAAGAGAAGGGTTGGCACAGTAGTAGGCCGAACTGTTACCTGTACCATGGTGGTGACGTGCTACACCTTGAAGATCCCCTCTGTGGCTGCCCCCTTCCCCCCACCCGGTACCTCTGAGGCCTGCACCCAAACAGAACCCATGGGTCCGGGCTCCACTCACACAGGGCACCCAGCTCTTGGCTGTGGGGGCTGCCTGGCACATCTGTAAGCACATGGGATCAAGAGCAATGTCACCTCCCCTTGTGAGGTTTGCTCCACATTGGAGTCTCTGGAGTAGTGGATAAGGGAGCTCCAGACTGCTGTGCAGGGGGTGCGTGACATCAGGGATGGCAAAAAGGAGACTGACTCTTACTGCCAGGCTCTTCACCAGAATTAAGAACAGGGAAGAGCAAGGCTTGCTGGCAGGACAAGGGTATACAAGAGGAGCTCCCATAATGTCCAGCCAGGGGTCACTTGGATGAAGGCTGTCTCCGGCCCCAAGACACGCTACACCAGGGTCACCACCCAGCTGGATCTTCACAACATGTACAAACTCCTTGCAGAACCACTAGAGCCAAAAGAACCACCAGCTCCTGCACCTAAGGAAGAAAGGCAACCAGCAACCACTCCTAAGACAAAACACAGAGTGGTCATCATGGGAGACTCCTTCTTGAGGGGGACTCAGGGAGTGATCTGCCACCCTGACCCCTTAGCCCGTGAGGTCTGCTTTCTCCCAGGGGCCCAGATCCGGGATGTAGCTGAGAGGATCCAAAAACGTATCCAACCCTCCAACCACTACCCCATGCTCCTTATCCATGTGAACATGAATGACATGGCTTGAAGCAATCCCAGCCAAGTCATGAATGACTACAGGACTCTGGGAACAGGGCTCAGAGAATTGGGGGTACAGGTGCTTTTCTCCTCAATCCTTCCGGTTACAGGTCACGGGCCTAGGAGGGAGAGAAGAATTGTAGAAGTTAACAGAAGACATGAAGGCTTTGGCCTCTATGACCACAGTCCGCACTTCAGAGAGAGAGGCAGTGATTTGTTGGGAAGGGATGGCCTCCACCTCGCTTGAATAGAGAAGAAGCTCTTCTCAGCCAGAGCGGCTGACCTGCTTGACCAGGCTTTAAACTAAGTTTGCTGGAGGATGGGCGGATAACTACCAGTGCAAGCCCACCAAGTGTCAACCACAAAATCAGAAGGTCAGGCTGCACAAGGGAACTCACTCCTACCTCAGCCCAGAGACGGGGCTATTCTAGGAGTGCAGGAAAGCCTAGGGCCTCCGGTGGCAAGCTGACTTGCCTATACACAAATGCCAGGAGCTTGGATAACAAACAGAACAAACATTCTGCTACACAGAATGACTATGATCTCATAGAGATAATGAAGACCTGGTAGGACTCCACCTATGACTGCACCACAGGTATAGATGGCTATTAAGCCTGTGCGAAGCAGCTAGTATTTGCTTCAGATTTGGCCAATTCTGGGGACAGTGCTTCAATTCGGTGATTCAAATCACTGTCCCAAACTGATTTGGCCAAATCTGATTTGGAGATTCGACCACCGCTGAATCGGCCGAATCTCCGAATCAGCCCCATCCCCCGTCTGCTCTCCCAGCCCCGTCAATGGCTGCCCTGCCTAGCCCCAGCTCTTTGAAAAAAAAGCCCTCAGTCACCGGCTGCTAACAAGTGGGGGGCGATCACCGCTGCCCCCCTGTCATGTGAGGGGCTCTGCCATGAGCCCCCTGACCCCTGCCCACTCTCCCAGCACCCCCTCCCCCCATGGCTGCCCCCTCCCCCCCCGCTCTCCCCGGCCCTTGAA